CTTGAGCCCAGGAGTTGGAGGTTGCTGTGAGCTGTGATGCCACAGCACTTTATCCAGGGAGACAACTTGAGGCTCTGTCTCAAAAAAATAAATAAATAAATAAAAACTATTCGAGGGTGGGCGGCACCTATAGCGCAGTAGGTAGGGCACTGGCCACATACACCAAAGCTGGTGGGTTCAAGCCTGGCCTGGGCCTGCTAAACAACAATGACAACTGCAACAAAAAAATAGCCAGGCGTTGTGGCAGGCATCTATAGTCCCAGCTACTTGGAAGGCTGAGGCAAGAGAATCACTTAAGCCCAAGAGTCTGAGGTTGCTATAAGCTGTGATGCCACAGCACTCTACTGAGGGCTACATGATGAAACTCTGTCTCAAAAAATAATAATAATAAATAAAACCTATTCAAGGGCAAGGTGAAATGGCTCACACCTGTAATCCTAGCACTCTGGGAAACAGGAGGATCGCTTAAGGCCAGGAGTTCACAACCAGCCTGAGCAAAAGCAAGACCTCATCTCTACTAAAACTAGAAAAACTAGGCAGCACCTGTGGCTCAAGGAGTAGGGCACCAGCCCCATATACCTGAGGTGGTGGGTTCAAACCCAGCCCTGGCCAAAAACTGCAAAAAAAAAAGAAAGAAAGAAAGAAAAACTAGCCAGGTATTGTGGCTAGGCCTGTAATCCCAGTTGTTCAAGAGGATGAAGTAGGAGGATCACTTGAGCCCAGGAGTATGAAGTTGCTGTGAGCTATGATGATGCCACTGTACCAATATATATTGAAATAGTCAGGTTTTCAGCCCACCTTCCTCCTCCTCCCTTCCCCCAGAGTCAACCCTGGGAACAGGACAAGTTCCCAGGTTGACTCCCTCCTCCTCCTTCCCCCTCAGAGGTGAAACAAGGAAGCACAAAAAAGTCCCAAGTTCAGGTGAACAATGGTGGGAACTTACCCAGATTGTAACCCTCAAGCTATAACTCCCCCTACCCCGAGCTAACCAGCCACGTTTTGCTTCTCTAGCATGCTTGCTCAAAAATTATATAAGGCAACCTGCCCTCTACTGGGACGGACTGACTCAGAGCAGCAGTCCCCTGAGCAGGTTCAATAAACCTCCAATTGATTTGCACTTAAGTGGGGTCTGAATCTATACTTTCAGGTTGCAGGGGTACAACATTTCATATTTTCAAGAAAACAGGAGGCTTGATGGGGCAGGGAGACAGTTCAGGCTCAGCTCTTTTCTTGCAGGAAATCAGTTAAGAAGCTGAGATCCCATGAGTTCTGCTTCAAATACAGAAGATCCAGGGAGCAACACCATGAAGACAAACCCCTTCCAGCTTCTCCCCAGGATGCTCAGCCCCACAGACCTGCCCAGGCTGCTCTGTCCTAGAGTGAGGGCTTGGGCAGGGAGCCCTACTCATTCAGGTAATGCCAGGAGGGTCTGGGGAAACCTAGGATTGGTCACTCCTGGACAGCTGGATATAAAAGCAAGAGCTTTAACATTTGTAAGCAGCTGAGCCCTATCTGCTAACTTCTGTAGTAGGAAGAGAAGAGAATTTTCTAGAGTGAAGTAAATAGTCAAGTCTAAGGCAGAAGCTATAGGGAAGGGAGTGTGTGTGAGCTAGGCACTCACCGGATGGCTTTCAGGCTCCTCTCAATGGCCTCAGGGGGGATCAGGCTTGAAGCTGCATAGTGGATCTTGTGGGGCAGGCAGAAGCTCACTTCCAGCCAGCTGTTGATGTGAAGCCGAACCACACCAGAAGTGCAGAGGCTGCGGAGAGTGGACGCTGTTACCTGGGACGCCACCTACCCACTCACACAGACGTTTTCTAAACACCCTGCTTCAGGGATGCTTATCCCAAGCACACTGCCCCACTGGGTGGAAGAAGCTATAAGTGAAGACCTCATGAGCAGGCCATCATCTTTTCAGAGGTCAGCACATTCAAGAAAACATGACAGGAATATACACAAAAGTATTTCCAGCTAGCCCCAGAACTGCAGTCCAACCAGAACTTCATGAGGAATAATGCACTACAGGCCTCTTAATCCTACCCTTGGCTGCCCAGGTCCTGGTGGACACCAGCACCAGGGTGCACCCTCAAGTGTGTGAGCCTGCCCCGCACACCTGATGGGCCAGACACAGGGGCAGCCAGGCAGGGTTGGGCCTATCTACAAAGAGGAGAGGGGAGACTCTTTAGGAGAGTCTCTAAAAGGCTTGGTTATGCCATGCCCCCAGAACATCCCAATGGCAAGAAGTACACAGAACCTGCACCCTGCAGATGTCAGCAATACCTCAGGAACAATGTGTCACAAGCCAAACAGCCCACCCGCCCCGCCACTTTACCATCATAGCAAGTCTCCCACTCTGCATTCCCTTACTTAATGCAATTTGGTTCTTTCAGGCCCCAGCCTTGCTCAGGCCAAAGCACAGCAACACAAACCCCGACTCCCTATTTCTGTTACATCCCACCTCAACGCCATTAGCAAATCCTATCTGTTCCACCTGCAGGGCCATCCAGAAGCCAGACCTTTTTAGTACCACCAGGCCCAAGCTGCCCATAGCACAGGCCCCTGATGACAGCCCTGTTTACCCCTCCACAGCTCCCATCTGGGCAGTCCCACCAAGACCTTGCAACACATTTCTTGGGCCTATGTCCAGTCACTCAAGTGTGGCTGTTTTGGAGACACTCGTGCTGGCCCTCAACCACAAGCTCTCTCCCCAGATATCCCAGGGCTCCCTCAATCCTTCAGTCTCAACTCAAGTATCACATTCTCAGTGAAGCATTCCCTGACCCCAGCCCCACTTCCATGCCGGCCCCTCATGCTGCGCATACTTGTCCTGAGCACCTGAGCACAGGATGCTACTTATCTGCTGTCAAATGCAAAACTCACAAGCCCCTCCCTGTGAGTGTGTTCTGGTGCAGCACAACATACTCACAGGGAGGGGCTTCTGAGTTTTGCTCTCATTCACTGCACATCTGGTAAAGGGGTGGACATGTGGTGGCCACAGAGCAGCATTTTGTGAATGAAGGAAAGAAAGAAACTAAGGCACAAGCTGTCCTCCCCCGGGTGCACTCTCTTTGACAGAAAGCCCCTACCCTGAGAACAGGCTTCACAGTGGCATGTGGTCCCATGCAGCTCACTGTGGGAACTACACAGAGGGAAGAAGGGGTTGTTTCCAGCAGGTGTATCCAAGATTCCCTGAGGGAGAGACAGCCTCCATGCCCCACCTTACTCTACAGCTCGGTCACAACGTCCTCTCATTAAGTGCCAACAGCAATTGCTCCAGCAAAGCCCTCTTTGGCTGGTCCTCACTGTGTCCCCCAGGGCTCCAGGCACCAGGTGGTGGGAACTTTACTGCTCTGCCAAGGCCTGGCCTTCACTCTGATCCAGCGAAGCTTAGAAGAGCTGAGGCAGGCACCCTCCTTGCATCCTGCATAGGGAAGGAAGCCCACAAAGCCTCGTGATGGCAATACAGTTCTAAAATAGAAGTAAAATACATCAGCTCTTGGCATCAGCCACATACACCAAGGTGGCAGGCTTGAACCTGGCCCGGGTCTGCCAAACAACAATGACAACTACAACAACAAAACAGCCAGGTGTTGTGGTGGATACCTGTAGTCCTAGCTACTTGGGAGGCTGAGGCGAGAGAATCACTTAAGCCCAAGAGTTTGCTGTGAGCTGTGACGCCACAGCATTCTACCAAGGGCAACATAGTGAGATTGTCTCAAAAAAAAAAAAAAATAGCTCGTCTCCAAACTGCCAATTTGTATAGCACTTCCCCACATTTCTCTGTTCACTGCCCCCACCACCCAGGAGAGCAGCCAGCTGGTGCCTTTCCCATCATGGCTGACCCTGCTCTGCTATTCCCACCCCCAGCTGGCAAGACAGGCCAGCACGCCCACACCAAGCCAAGTGTGGGGCAGCGGACAGCTCCATGAAGCATGGCCAGACTTCTGCCTGCCCAAATCAGACAGGACAGACAGCCCTCTCTCTGAGTCTCCTGAGAGGGAGGTGACCCTACAGCTCTCATTCCTGGCACCCACAGATGGTTCTTAGAATCTTTTCTCTGAAGCCTCAAGCAACAAACCAACAACCCCAAGAATCCCCCCCAGAAGGCTAGCAGAGACTATGGCCAGGAATTTCTTTTCTTTCTCTCTTTTTTTTTTAGAGACAGAATTTCACTTTGTCGCCCTTGGTAGAGTGCCATAGTGTCACAGCTCACAGCAATCTCCAGCTCTTGGGCTTAGGCAATTCTCTTGCCTCAGCCTCCCGAGTAGCTAGGACTACAGGTGTCCACCACAATGCCCGGCTATTTTTTGCTGCAGTTTGGCCAGGGCCGGGTTCAAACCCGCCACCCTCAGTATATGGGGCCAGAGCCCTACTCAATGATCCACAGGCGCCGCCCCTTTTTCTTTTCCTTTTGACACCCTTGGTAGATTGCTACGGTATCACAGCTCACAGCAACCTCAAACTCTTGGGCTCAAGTGATTCTCTTATTTTTGAGACAGTGTCCACTGTATCATCCTCAGTAGAGTACCATGGCGTCACAGTTCACAGCAACCTCAAACACTTGGGTTTGAGCAATTCTCTTGCCTCAGCCTCCCAAGTAGCTAGGACTACAGGCACCAGCCACAATGCCTGGCTATTTTTTGTTGTTGTTATTGTTGTGGTTGTTGTTGTTTAGCTGGCCCTGGCTGCGTTTGAACCCACCAGCCCCAGTGCATGTGGCTGGTGCCCTAACTGCTAAGCTATAGGAGCTGAGCCTCAAGTGATTCTCTTATCTTAGCCTGCTAAGTAGCTAGGACTACAGGCAACCACCACAATGCCCAGCTATTTTTAGAGATGGGATCTCAGTCTTGCTCAGGCTGGTCTTGAACTCCTGAGCTCAAGCAATCCACCCACCTCGTCTCCCAGAGTGCTAGGATTACAGGTGTTGAGACACCATGCCCAGCCTTGGCCTAGAGTTTCAAATGCCAAAATAAGTCTTTATTCTCTCAAGTAGAGAAGAGGCAGTGGGAAGAAGAAACATGAGAAAAACACAGAACATATGTATAACCACAACTACCCTGGGACCCCCACCAACCCCAACTGTCTGCTCATTGCAGTGTCCACAGCTGCCAAACACCCCACCTGCCCTCTCTCAAGAGCATCAGAAAACCCACACCTGCTTCTCCCATTGCAGAGTCTCTGGGGAAGGGTCCGGGGTAAGGGATATACGATGAGGCTGAGTGTGAAGGCAAAGGTTGGTCACTGCCAGTCCATCGTCTCTCAGAGTGAAACACACAAGAATGTTTGGTGAGTATCAAGATTTAGGGAATAGGGCCACATACGATGCTCCTTCCTAGCACTTTGAGAGATCAAAGCAGGAGAACTGTTTAAGGCCAGTTCAAGACCAGCCTGAGCAACATAGCAAGAACCTATCTCTATAAAACCCAGAAAAATTAGCTGTGTATGATAGCACATGCCTGTAAGGGAGGTTGAGCCAGAAGGATCTCTTGAGCTCAGGAGTTTGCGGTTGCAGTGATCTACGATGATGCCATTGCACTCCAGCTAGGTGACAGAGGAAAACTCTATCTCAAAAAAAAAAAAAAAAAGGATTTGGGGGAAAAAGACCCAGGTCTTCCCCTAAGGTTCCAGAGGAGGGCACCACTCTCAGCTTTTTGCAGGACTGAATGCTAAGTAAGTGTGTCCAAGCAGATGGACCCAGCCAGAGCCTTGCCTCACTTTGGCCTCAGTCTTTGTGGGGTGGAAATCTCACATCAAACCCTGAGAAACAGCCCATCCTCTTACAAAATCAAAGACCACTCCATGCACCAGATGCAGTGGCTTATGCCTATAATCTTAGCACTCTGGGAGGCTGAGGCAGGAGGATCCCTTAAGCTCAGGAGTTTGATACCAGCCTGAGGAAGAGCAAGATTCTGTCTGTCCGTCTGTCTGTACCAAAAATAGAAAAATTATTAATAGCCATGCATGGTGACAGGTACCTGTCATCCCAGTTACTTAGGAGGCTGCAGCAGGAGGACTGCTTGAGCCCAAGAGATTGAGGTTTCTGTGAGCTAGGGTGACACGGCTCTCTACCTAGGTGACAGAGCAAGACTCTGTCTCAAAAAAAAAAAAAAAAAAACCAGGGTGGCACCTGCGGCTCAAGGAGTAAGGCCCGGACCCATATACAGGAGGTGGCAGGTTCAAACCCAGGCCCAGGCAAAAAAAATTAAAAATACATAAAAATAAAATAAATAAAACAAGAAGCTATTGGAAAAGCACAGAACCAGAATTAGATACTGAAACTCCTATCATTCCAAATGTGGCTGTCTTGCTCCACCAAGGATCTCAGTAGTGCTGCACATGAGCTGACAAGCAAGACACATGTGCTGAGGTTCCTAGCACTGGTTCAGGCACTCAGGGCATAGCAGGGAAGAAAAACCTTACTGCCCTGCCCTTGGGAGCTCCCACACAGCAGCATCAGGAAAGAAAGATATACATAGTCATGAGCAAATTGAATAGAATACTAGAAAAGTTATAGGAAAGAAGACAAGCAGTGTGGGCGGGAGGTCATAGTATAGGTGTACATGAGAGGAGGAAGCTTAGGACATGCCTCATGCAGAGCCAGGAACAAGTGTCAGCCGTAGGTGAAAGGGAAGGAGGGAGAGGGAAAGGAGAGAGGTGGGAGAAGAGAGAGAGAAATCACTAAGGTCCTTATAGCATCTGCCCAGTTTGGTCATCTCTGGGGGAGATGGGGACTTCACGCTACTTCCCAAGGGAGTGCAG